GGAAGCCTTCTGAGGTTCTGACTTGATGGCCCGTATCTAACTGATGATACAGGAGAACAGAGCAGAACTATCCCATTATTGTGGTTTGTCTTTTCCATTTTGGTGTTGCTGCAATCTTCCTTCCATTCCAAGATATTAACTCAAGCCAGGGCAGGTGATGTGTAACCCCCTGGATGTCACTGAACAGTGCTTGTCATGTGAGTTGAACACCAGGCATTCCTCTAAAGGTAGTGTAAATGGCAATCCTCATCTTCCCCAATTTCCCCTCACCGTCGCCCAGTCATGTAGGTTGGGTTGAGAGATGGTTACAGCTATGAATGAGGTCAACTGTTGAGTTTCCTGGTTGAGATTGGATTTGAGCCCAGGGTCCCCAGGTCATCCAACACGTGGTATCTTCTTAGCTCTATAGCTCAAACATCCTTGTTCTCCTCCCGGGTCTTGAGCACAACTTGAATGCTGTCCATTTTAAAGATGGATCTTTGGCAGTGGAATCTCTTGGCTCAATGGAATTTCTGTGGAAGGAATCCAACCCGGAGGTGGCAGTTGAGTCCTTCCCATGCAACAGAACATCCTCGTCTTTAAGTGTGGAAGTTCCACACATCTGGCCACTTCTTCCTTTCGAAAAGACACACTCGTGGGACTTCACATTGATTAATATTAATAGAGTCATTAAAACATTTTTGATGGATGATATTCTAGAAGGATAATTCAAACTCCTCTCTTACCATGTGCACTAGAAGCAGCTCTTTCTCTCCCTAAATGTAGCTCCACTTTTTCCTGAGAAACGTCCGCTTCAACAACAGTGCTGGGGATGAAATCTTTTTCAACGAGAATGGGGACCTGGAATTTGGGTACGACGTCAACAACTTGGTGACCTTCCCCAATCAGTCCTTTCGGAGAGTGCGTGTTGGTTGGATCGATCCTCATGGTCCTGATGGAAAGAAGTTCACCCTGAATGGAAGTGCCGTTGTGTGGAATCCCAAGTTCAATCAGGTGTCCATTCGTTTGTGGAAGGCTTCAAGCCACCAGATCCTCCCTGATGTTTAGAAATCAATCCCATGATTTAAGCATTACCACACTGGGTTTGAGATGAAGAGGTTGTATTGAGATATGAAGAGATAGATGTCCAGAGTTCTTGGCCATGAGGTGTTCTCACCCATGGGGGCTTCATAGCCTATTTGTTGGGGCTTGGAAAGACAAGAAAGGGCAATGGAAATGAGGGATGAAAACCTGGGGAAAATCAGAATTGGGTTCCATTTAAAAGACATGTGCTCATAGGTCTTTAGTGGAACTTATTTAGGGGATTTGGACAAGCATTGGTCTAATTTGGTTTAAGTAAGGTTCGTGCATTGATAAGGGAGAGAGACTTGAGGAGCTAATGGGTCCCTTCCAACGTCATTATACTATGTACTCAGATACACACAGACATGGCGTCACAAATTTCTCCTTCTTCCTCTGTCTCTTCAGAATTCAAATTCCCCTTTCTTTTCATATTTGTCGCAAGGTACTTGTTGCCCTTTATGATCAGGGAGATTATTTCTTTCCTGGTCACCCACACCTGAAAAAGAACTTGGCCTTCTGAAATGGAACTAATCGTCATTGTGAACTTGAGGAAATGACCCTATTTCCCTTAACCTCCCTTTTTTCCTCTCGGATGTCCTTATAGACAGTTCCTCGTGCTGCCTGTGTGGAGAGCTGCCAGCCCGGTTACAGCAAGATTGTCCAGCAGGGGGAGCCAGTTTGTTGTTACCAATGCGCTCGGTGCCCGGAAGGCAGAATTTCCATCCATGCTGGTAACTGGAAAAAGGGGCAGCTTCAATGAGGACAGAGTGAGACGGGGTCCCTGCTTTTTAATATTGGTCACATACCAACCCTTTCCCACTAAGATGGTTGTAAGGAGGGATTTCCAGAGATTTATGGCTTACTCAGTGCCCAATAAAGTACAGTGGTGCCTTGCTTAACGATTGCCTCGTTTAGCGATGTTTTCGCTTAACGATGGGTTTTTAAAAGAATTCTATGCATCATTTAACGATGTTTCCTATGGGTAATTTTCGCTTAGCGATTTTGGGACCATGCTTCGCATGGCGAATGCATTTTTTAGGTCCCCTGTTTCACTTAACGATTTTTCAATTCTAAAAGCGTCGTAAAATATTCAAAAAGTTTTTAAAGAATTCTATGCATCATTTAACGATGTTTCCTATGGGTAATTTTCGCTTAGCGATTTTGGGACCATGCTTCGCATGGCGAATGCATTTTTTAGGTCCCCTGTTTCACTTAACGATTTTTCAATTCTAAAAGCGTCGTAAAATATTCAAAAATGTTTTAAATGCTTGGATTCGTTAGTGCATCTTGTAAAACGTGTGCAAACTTAATCCAGAGTTCTTGGCCATGAGGAGGGCTCACCCATAGGGGCTCCGTAGCATATTTGTTGGGGGTTGGAAAGACAAGAAGGGGCAATGGAAATGAGGGATGAAAATCTGGGGAAAATCAGAATTGGGTTCCATTTCAAAGACATGTGCTCTTAGGTCTTTAGTGGAACTTCTTTAGGGGATTTGGACAAGCATTGGTCAAATTTGGTTTAAGTAAGGTTCCTGCATCGATAAGGGAGAGAGACTTGATGGGCTAATAGTTCCCTTCCAATACCATTATTCTTTGTACTCACACAGACATGGCCTCACAAATCTCTCCTTCTCCCTCTCGCTCTTCAGAATTCAAATTACACTTTCTTTTCATGTTTGACCCCTGGTCCATGTTGCCGTTCATGATCAGGGAGATTATTTCTTTCCTGGTCACTCACACCTGAAAAAGAAATTGGCAGTCTCAAATGGAACCACCCTGCAATTGTCATCATGAACTCGTGGAAATGAGCCTATTTCTCTTAACCTCCCTCTTTTCTTCTTCGATGTCCTTATAGACAGTTCCTCATGCCACCTGTGTGGAGAGCTGCCACCCCGGTTACAGCAGGATTGTCCAGCAGGCGGAGCCAGTGTGTTGTTACCAATGCGCTCGGTGCCCAGAAGGCAGAATTTCCATCCATGCTGGTAATTGGAAAAAGGGGCAGCTTCAATGAGGACAGAGTGAGACGGGGTCCCTGCTTTTTAATATTGGTCACATACCAACCCTTTCCCACTAAAATGGTTGCTAGGAGGGATGTCCAGAGATCTATGGCTTACTCAGTGCTCCAATAAAGGAGCCCAGGCAGGGGTCCTTCTGGATGACATGCCCAGTCAATTCCTCCCTGGTTCTGTACATTTCCATTTTAGTGTTTTTTTTTAAAAAAAAAAAAAGAGTGCAAGTGGCTTTGGACTGGGATTGAAGAAGGCTACACAGGACCATGAATTTTAGGGATGCAGAGGTCGGGAGGGTTTTATTTATCTCTGCTGGAACCAATTCCCTTTGGAGGTGGTGAGCATCAGAACGGTGGAAGCATTCTGGAGGAAACGAGACAACCAATGGTCAGGTATACTTTGGTTTGGATCCCTGCATTGAGCAGGGGTTTGGACTCCTTGGCCTTATAGATCTCTTCCAACTCAATTCTTCTAGGATTCTGTGCCCTTGTTCTACCTGGGCTGGGTTGCTTCCCGGAGGGTGACTAACTGGGAAAGCTTCCTGTGAGCCTCTTTTCCCAACATGTCCAAACCCCATACTCCTTGGTGCTCCAGGGAGAACAAAGCAAGCAGGTGGAGAAGGAAGGGAATAAAGTATATGTCGGAAAGCAAATCCAAAAGAAAAAAAAACCTTCCAGTTCACCCTTTGAAGAGAACCTTTGTTTTAGAGTGTCTTTTACTTCTAAGCTTTTGAAATGAATTTGCCTTCCTTCATGAGAGGAAACATTTTTGAACACTTGTGGTTTTCTTTCTGGATTTTAGATGCAGATCGATGTGAGAAGTGCTATGAAGATCGGTATCCAAACCAGGGCCAGGATCGCTGCCTCTTGAAAAGTGTGGTTTACTTGTCCTACAGAGAACCTTTGGGAGCAACTTTGGGGTGTTGTGCCTTTTTGTTTTCTGGGCTGACCGTTCTGGTGATGGGGGTCTTCCTTCACTCCCGGCACACTCCCCTTGTCAAGGCCAACAACTGGAACTTAACCTGTGTCCTGCTCTCCTCTCTCTTCCTGGGCTTCCTCTGCCCCTTCCTCTTCATCGGCTGGCCTGGGAAGATCTCCTGCCTCCTGAGGCAAACCACCTTTGGCATCATCTTCACTGTGGCTGTTTCTTGTGTTTTGGCTAAAACCATCATGGTGGTTCTGGCCTTCACGGCCACCAAACCTGGAAGCAGGGCCAGGATGTGGGTGGGAAATAG